AACACCTTGTTTTTCCAGTAAAAGATTAAACAGTTAAATGTACAATTCATCAAAGCTATGGTTATAGCCCACAGTCCAGCAAGGTATGCATTATCCAAAGTATTTCGTGATTTTGTCGAGTGTATTGTTAGTCCAATGTAGACGAACGTTGGAATTGAAAACACCCCAACACAAGCGACTGCTAGCAAACAACTCGATATGTTTTTCAAAGAAAACTTTTTTTTCATATCAGACGATATTCCTTTGTTTTTACGACTTTTTCTGACAACTAGAAACAGCTTATAGTTTATAAATAACATTGCAGGAAAGAGAAAAATAGAAATAATTAGACCATGTACTTGCAAGGAAATAATAAAGTAGTTTACAGACATCACGGTCAAAGTTATTTCGACGATGATCAGTATTGCAAGAAGAGTTAAAAGTCTTCCCTTCGTTACCGATGTTCGATGAAAGATAGGATAAGATGTCGCCAAATATCGATCGAAATTCATCACCAAAAGAGCGAATAATGAAAAAACAACGAAAATACCTGTTACTCTTATGGAACTGTAAGGCCATCTAGCATTAGAGAGGTTAAGATACCCCGGTTTCGGTGTACGTGTACGGGTAGCATGATTTTGGTTAGCAATATTTTCGTCGATGTCTGTACCTTTACTCGTAATTAAGGTGCACATTTTTCGCGTTATATCATTGTCTATTGCAAGAAAACAGAAAAAGTATGATCGAATTACAGACGTCAGTAAAACAAGATGACACTACTCGTACCCGTACACCGAAACCGGGGTATCTTAACCTCTCTATTTACATCCAACGTTCCCGTTGACCATGACATCGTGAGAAGGGCAATCAATGGACTATTAGGTAAAACCGTGAGCAAATCGCAGCAGGACAAAATCATTATCATGAAATAACATAATTTCTTTCTAAGTTGTACGGACCTCCAGACACTGAATATGACCAATGAATTTAAACATATTCCCGAGAAAAAGAAGAATACATTCACAGCAAATATGAATATCAGGTTGATGAAATAATAAGATTCCATCCTCGCGTTCATGCATGACTTCTGAAGAATTAACTCGATTGTAACGCAACGGCTGAAAAGTTTATTATTGCATTACAGGCGTACAAGGTGGTCACACCTGTTTTTAATTTATGACAACGGCACACGAAATTGAGAGGTCAGGCACTAGCACACGAAATTGAGAGGTTGGCAGTCACGATCGTTGCCCAAAATAAACTAGAATCATTACCTACCAAGTGTGAATAAAAATCCAGCAAGGGAGAGCAGCGGGGACTTTTTTCCTCGAAATTATTACAGAACTGAAGGGCACTTGCTATATCATGCGAAAATTATACAATGGGCTTATTATAAATTACGTATTTAATTTTACTCTGTTCGACAAAACAAGACAAAGTTTTTCTATTTTCTTATCCACTTTTTATCCAAAGTTAACATAAATTTTGTTAAGTTACTTAGTCCTTGGGTGACGTTCAGTAGTCGCATTCATTTTCGTGCTAATACGTTTGATAATTTAAACCAATAGCATGTAATCATTCCATGGCAAGATGCTGTTTGGATACCGCGGTCAAACACCGTCAGACACAGCACCACAAAAGTTTAGCTGCATACGTAATTAAATATTTCATGAAAGTCTCTAGTGTTTTTATCAAATATCTTAATTACGCATGCAAAATTACTTGAATAGAATTCCTAATTACGTTATGCTTGATTAAACATTCTATTCAAATCAGCAAACGAAAACATTCTGTTACGTCTCGATTCATTTGTAAATGAGAAGCCATACAAACAACTCGAGCTCTTGTCTCACCGGGATATCCAAACACTCAAAAACATAGTATGAAAACACTCACGCTTCGCGCTCGTGTTTACATACATTGTTTTCTCGTGTTTGGATATCCCGACTAACACATCAACAGTTGCTAATCCTCGGACATGTTCTTCGCTCGATTGCTCGTATAGCGAAGGCTCTTTATCAATTATGTGCGTTTCAAAACCCAAATAAAACCGAGAATAAAACTTTAGTGTCTTGAATGTAATTCGAATTTTGACGACGATTACCGTAAGAGGCACCATCAATCTTGCCATAAGGGAATAAGGGATAGCGAGTGCAACTGTGGGAGTAACGAGTGTCTTAATTGGCCTGTGATGCAAACGCACATCTCCGCAAAGTCAGCAAAGTTATCCGAGTATCTGCATGTGATTGCATTGATATTTTGTTTCAATATTTTCATGGCAATTTGATGAATTTGACCTTTTTAATCCCCAGGCGTCGAATAGACAATTTTTAATTTTTTGTATTTCGAGCAGTCTTAAAACACACTTAGTGGTGGATAGCGGGCTTTTGTATATACGAACCGATTTTCCAAGCGTTTAAATTTTGTGCGTCAGACAGCGAGTAGAACGGATATATACAACCGATGATACCGATCGCTGTATGCTACTATATATGTCTTCCAAAATTGCAGTCTGCAGGGGTGGATTCAGCCGCTGATCTGAGTTAACAGTAATTTCGCTAAAGAACTGAATAAGACTGAAGAAGACAAGTCCGTTCTTACGGCATGGTTCGTCTTGGTCTTCTTCTCTTGTGCCTGTGGTATCTTCTTGAGGATATAGGCCTCTGACGACTCAAAATACTCTTTTCCACTTTGGCTTTGACTGCGCTTTGCATGCTACTCAGACTATGTGCACGCGGTGACGTTTCCGAGCGTTTTTGGTTGTAATGCGTTTCTGAAAGTGAACTGAAAGTACCATTTTCACGTTCTATTTACACGAAAACGTATGAAAACGACGTCAGGAAGCAAAAACGTTTCAAATAGTGGAAACGATGCCAAATATTTGTTTTCTATGTCTGAAACGTTTGGTCGTTTTGGCACTTTGTTATCGTGTGAACAGGAAAGTGGAAGGCGAAAATGAAATGCCGTGTTTGAAATTGGAAACGAGGACTAAAAACTAGTGCTTGGGCAAAAATGTTGCGAGAAAAATTATCAATGTGAACAAGGCGCCTAAACGCTAAATTTGAAAACCCCACTGGCACTGTAAAAACGCTCAAAACCGTTACCGCGTGCACATACAGATAGCCTCAATCTCGATTTTGGTCTTATTTAAAACACCGATATAAACCGCCGTCAGAAATTTAATTTTTTCAGCTTTATATGTTTAATATAAAAAAATTAAAATAATACTCCTATTTGAATGAATAAAACAAACGCACAAACAAACAAATGCACAAAAATAAAATAGTGTTATTAGGGCAGGTTCATAATGAGCTGTGGTTCCAGTTATTACGTGCTTCGATTTCATGACCGTATAAAATTATATGTTTGTTCTTAGAATGTCATATTTTTTTGTATAAAGAACCTGATTGCTTTGTAGCAACACCCCACGTACGAACAGGCATCCATTTCAAAGCAAAAGCCATATTGGTGTCCCTTATTTCTAGCACACTGCACACAAATATGGTTCTCATTACCCATACTTAAACTTTAGAAACTTTTGAAAAACTCGGCAAATTCAACTAACGTCACTCGGCAATTTGACCTTCGACACCCCCC